GCTGATCTTGAGTTTGGATGATTTTCACGAGGAGGAGATGTGTTGACAGGTATACAATTATTTGATCTCTATGCAAAACTATACAAGTTTGAGCAGGCCATTCATCAAGATTTTCATCTCAATAATCTGATTGATGAAGATGACTATGAATTATATCAGAAATTAATCAAGCAATCAATGGATGAAAAATGAATATAGATTCATCTTGAATCCTCTCAGTAACCATCACTGTAGTTAGCTTGCCTCAAATGAAGCCAATAAAAAATGGCCACTATTCTCAATTTTCCCATTGTTTTCTCTGTGAATGCCATTGTTGATAATCAGCAGTCATTATTTCACATTGGCTTTTTCTGACTAATTCATCTATCAGATTGGCTCTATCACCATCTTTAGCCTCATCATTCGAGTACCCCTGAATTGGCCAGACAACAAGGAACTGTTCTTGTCAAACCAAGCAGACAAGGTTATGAAGAACCTGCCTGTCAAAAGATGTGAAAAAGGTCTGACAGCTCAATTCTTTACAGAGACAAGAGAACACTTTCATTGACAAAAGCAGCATGACTTGCATTCATCTTATAATTCAAAAAAGGGAGTTGAGAGTTTAAAAAAACAAAACAAATCATTGCAGTGGATAAATAGATAGACATCATGTGCTTAATATTCTTCTAATGGAAAACCCTATAATGTACTATGGAAAATTTTGCTTTAAGTCAGAGTAAGATATTTGTCAGGAAGTCATAGGGTAAGAGACTTGATTCATTTAGTTATATATGTGATACTTGTGGCCAGAGATAACAAAATCAAGGAACCAAATCAAATAGAATCATGTGTAAAGGAACAAAAAGGAACAAAGGAAAAGGTAAGGCGAGGGAAGAAAACAGACCAAAAGGTGGCTTTTTTAAACACTATCTCCTAATTCAAAAAAATGATCTAAGCAAACATTATGCCTTTGCAATTAGGTGCATTACATTTGCATGGCATAAATAGAGCATGGTTTTCATTGTTCATTTGACCTGTCTCCAATCTCTTGTATTCCTCATCGTTTGGATCCGAATATGAAGTCGTAATTTCAGTGCCTGTTTTGATGTTTTTCTTTGCAAACATGGCAAAGATCCTATGTTTGATCATCATCAGCATCATTATTGATCAAATGTTGTCCATTGGGACATATGTCAGTCAGTCAATCCTTTTATTTGGTCACAATGAAAAAACACAAAGAAAACATACGGTCGAGTAGGGTCACTCTGAAACAGCAGCAGCAAGCCATCCAATGTTGATTTGTAAGGAGATATTAAGAAAATGATAACCGAGTGAGCATTCCAGGACATACAGCAAGAATAAAGCAGGCAATTGACTGGGAGCTTACATCCTCAATGTAAACAGGCACGATAACGGTGTTGGCACTACAGGAATGATTGATGAACCGAGAAACATTGCCATATACTGGTAGGATAAATGTGGTGAAGGAGCCAGAATGTCAGAAGATGTGTATGTGCAGGGGGATGAATCAAGTGGAAAACGTACAAAAAGCATCAACACTATAAACACCATCAATGTCGGTCTCCTTTGGTTTTTGTGATTTGCTTTGTTTCTTCTTGGCTTTTGATGAAGAATTGAAAAGTGGTCCAGTGACATTCTGAAGGCTACCACCACTTGTTAGTCTCTTGTGAGCTTCTGAGAACTGCTTGGTTTCACTGATTACAATTAGCCCTTCACTCGCAAGACTGTTTGAGTCAATGGTCTCAATCCACCATGGATCCAGGTCGAATAGGTAAGTTCTGCCAATTTTGTCATATTTACTCCGGCTGCGCTCATCAGACATTGCATCGGTAATCAGCTCGCCACTGTTGATTTCACAGCTTGATCAGTGCTACCCAATTTACCACAAACAGTGGGAAAAAGATGGACTCAGGAAAAATGGCAGCGCACCTGTAATGTGTGACAAGTCGGCCGGTGGGAATTGGATGGTCAGCAAAAACACCTAAAAGCAGTGTTCATAAATCAGATCAGCTTCTGTTTTTATGCTCTGGGATCAAGCAAGGTACTAACCCCAACCACGTGAAAGCGTCTTCTGAATGGACAATTTCTCTCGACGGCCCCTGCCAACTGTCTAAAGCACTCAAAAAGTATTAGGATTGCACACAAACAGTGTTGGAATCTCATGTTTATCTTAGCTAAATACAGAAATCTTACCCTATTGATGCAATTGGGGCCACACCCACACTATGTAATATAACATGGTCATGGTCAGTTGCTGAAAGAATTAAGAGCCAAACTACAAATTGTTGACTTACTTTGGAGTGACACTCAAATACTGGGAAGGAATGATCTAGAAACAATCCAGCCACAGACCTGGCTTCAAGATCCCCATTGTCCGGTTTCTTGAAGTGAGAATGGCGAGGTTTGCGATTGGAGACATAGGCAAATCCTTCAAAGTTTGTAACACTTTCGTTCAGGTTGACACCAAGTGCCTCGGCGGTTTGTCTGACCATTTTTGTCTGATAGATGCGACACTCGCAGTTTGGATTGTCAGAACAGTCACCCTCACATTGACACTGCCAAGTGGGAGGAATTGGTCGCTCGTTGTTTCGGTAGACCACCCTGGTTTGAATTGGCAAAAGGCATAGTGTGAGCTTGGAAAAGCTGGCGAAATTATTTTTTTTACACAAAACAAATCATCACTCACCGGTCTGTGTATACAAATTCAAGTGGTGGTGCCAGTGATTGATCCAATCCCGTCAATTTGCCTTCTTCATCCAAAGCGGCTGCTTTCTTTGTGCAGATTCACATGATGAGCTGTCTGAAGCAGTAGTAGATAAGGTTCAAGCAACTCAACTGAATCTTGAAGCATCTGTGCTTTCACCTCATCAGGCACAACAACATCAATGTGTGGGATCTCTTGATTTTCCCACATTTGGTTAGCATTGATCTCTTCGCTAAAAATGAGATGACCAAGTGGGGTAGTAAGATCGGGATTATTAGTGAGTATCCACGCCCTCTGCAGTTCGGTTGAGAATTCATCGGGTCTTTCCCGGCCTTGTAATGGTCGTCGGTTAGAGGGTACCTGGGACCAGTCAGGAGATACAGGCTTTACAGATAGCAATTAGTGACACTGTAAAATGATGACTAGGGCATTGAGAGTGTTTCATTTCACTTACCCTAGGTCTAGGTGTTACCTTGGGTGGGGGCAAGGTTGCAACAGGGTGAATAACACAAGGGTTTACATTGGTGTGGGTTGGATTGTTAATGTTACTGCCAAAGGAACTGTTTTGTTTGAGCTGAGGGCCGGGCTCCAAAGGAACAACATTCGAGATGCTTTTGCGTGGTGGTGGGCAGGAAGCAGAGGGAACAGGTTGCATAGGATCTGCATTGGATAACTCAACAAACCTTTCTTCAAGCTAGTGAGGCAATAAAAGTTAATCTGATCAACTCTAGGGCACAGAGTGTTTGAGGTGGGGGAAACTTTACCTTCTTTGACTGAGGTGGACTCATGTGCTTTCTTTTCTTTGGGGCATGAGGAGCTTCAGAAGAGGCATTGATACCATTGGGAGGAACAGTTGAAGCAGCTTTTAGGATCTTTTGCGAGAATGTGTTGTCTCCCTGGTTCGAGGCACACATACTGGATGTGTTGTTGTTGCCTTTTGCCAACGCGGATGGGGTGCTAGATGTGACATTGGAGCCAGAGGATCTAATGATAGACTGAAGGAAAGAAACAAATTTCAGTCTACATCTCAAGTGATCAATGTTTCTTTCTTATGAATTAGCTACACAGTATGATCTTACATGTGTGGTGGTAGAGCCTGTAAGCACACTAGAACCGGGTTGGGTACACCTGTTGCTTTCTGTCCCTACTGCGCTAGCTGATCCGCGGGACTGCAAACGCTTAAGCTCCATACGTTTAGCGTTCTCCTCTTGTTGGCGCGCATGCTGCAAAGGGAAATTGGGTTGAGTTGACAATCCAAAAAAAAGCACAACAACCTCTTTTGATACTAACGACTGGCCGTACCATGGATTGCTTGAGCGCTGATGTAGCCCAAGAAGTGTCACTGTCCTGTTTTTTGCTGGATTTATTGGTGCCAGATTTTGAGAGATTCGATGTGGATGCGGATGAGCCAGAAGGTTGTTCTTTGCGCATCGAGCTATTGCCGGATCCTGAGGAAGGAAGATAGCTGAAAAAATTCTATATGAAACGGGACAGTAGAATTCAATCCAGCATCCCAAACGGGCATGCAATTCCACTTGAAATTCGCTAGCGTACCAGTTTGTTAATGACGTCATTCTGTCCATTGGAATGCTTGGTGGTTCTTGCTTGGCTTAAATGTTGAGATTCTCCCTGCTTGGTTGATTGTGGTGCGTCTTCAGTGATCTTTGAGACATGAGTCGGGTGAGACTGAAGGCAAAAATATGTCAGCATAAGTCAATATGTGAGAAACAATGTTATATTGGTGCAATGACATTTAAGACGTGATTTTGACTGCATATTCTGAGCAACGCACATTACTTTTTGATGAATTCAGAGTTCCCTTTGAATGAGCAGTGTTCATAAGGTTTGCGTGTTGAGATCGTTCCTTCGTGAGCTCCCTGGCATGTAAATTTGGTTGCTTGCTTTTAGAGATCCCAGCAAAATCCTGAGAACAAGAAACATGTGAGTGAGTTTGGTTGAGATTTGTTGACTAGGCCATCTATGTATTGAGTTCAGGTAGGTTTTTTTGACTTGACATTGGTTCAATTCACTTACCGGCTGAGAGCTACTACATGAGTCCCTGTGATTGGTCGATGAGCTTGAAGTGTGTGGCTGAATGCTTTTTGGTTCTTGAGTTTGGTCTACATGGTTGAGGCAGTTTGTGGATGAAGAAAGGATCGGTCGTGAGCTGGAGTCCTTGAGTTTGTCGTGCCCATTAGGCTTACTCTTCGTTCCGACATTCCAGGATGAAACATCCAGACCACAGGTTGGTTTTGTGGACGTTCTTGGCTTGGCCTGTTCCAGAAAGTACAGGGTAGATCATTTCAGCCAGATTGTTTGAGGGATTGGAATGCTGTGTAGAGGTAGCGGAATTGATACATACCTTGGGAGCGCTTGTTATCTTTATATGTTCATCCTCATCGTCTGTATTGATCGTAATCACTTCGGGGGGTGAGCGGCTGGTGGGGTTTTTGGTCGACGAAGACGGACGTGACGCTATCAAGGATTGGTTGACGGTCGACGAAGACGGACGTGACGCTATCAAGGATCGGTCGACGGTCGACGAAGACGGACGTGAAGCTATCAAGGATCGGTTGACAGTCGAGTTCTATGAAAGCGTGTAAAAGTCATACGGTCAGTTGATGAAATGAAATAAAAAAACACGAGGGATTATGTTGAATATTAGATCGGAAAGGGAGAAGAAGGAAAGCCATGGCGATGGTGATCCTAGACGATCTATGTAAACTTACCGTGACGGGGTTCCCATTGGTAGCTCCGTGCATAGCTTAACCGAACGCAGCGATCCTTCCAAACTCGAGCCTCGATGGTACCCAGTGGCAGGCGTGTACAATGCGGAATCGGAATGCGTAATCGGCTGAACTAGAGGCCTAGCGACTTCATCCGAGGAAGCAAAATTTAGCGAGTTGGTCGGCGGGTGGATGATTTTAGGACTGAAGGGAAGCAAAACGCGTGAAAAAACTGAGGACTGACCAAAGAAAGCTCCGTATTACGGCTGAGGATGTGAGATCTCCGCGCGGGTTGCCCGGACCCTCCGTTCGAGTGGCTTTGTTAAGCTAGGGTATGGCCGTATGGGGTCCTCGTTACACGGAGCCGGGGTATGTAGAAGCCAGGAAGAAACAAGCAAATCAAACCGAATCCGCCCCAAATTGATGCACATTCAAATCAATATGCATTTACATATACATATGTACATACATAAACGCATACATACATACACACAGGACGGCTCGGCGGGGGAAGTTGAATACGTCATCCAAGCTGAAGCAGGCTTATCATCGATGAAAAGACTATCATCACTGCTCAACCACCTCCAACCACCCTCACCAACCACACACGCAAGCATGGCCCAGTTCTATAACCTCAAGGCAATCCTTGCCAACGGTACCGAGTTCGACTTCGCTCAGACCAAAGGGAAAGTCGTCTTGGTCGTCAACGTCGCTTCCAAATGTGGCTTTACTACTCAGTACGAAGGACTTGAAAAGTTAAGCTTCTGTTCACTTGGCTCCTTTTTTGTTAAAAGATTCCTCTGAATATTCTTTATTTCTTGTTCGTCACCCCACATGTGCAATCAACTTATCATCTGGCTCACGCTCCTTTTTTTTTCTTATCTAGATTGTGGCAAAAATTCAAAGACAAAGATTTTCAATTGATTGGATTTCCTTGTAATCAATTCGGAGGACAAGAGCCAGGTACAGACTCAGAGATCGCCAGTTTCTGTAAACTCAAGTTAGTACTTTCGATCATGACCACCATCAATTGAAACCTTTTATCCATCCTCTTCTACAATTGTTTGCTTACTCGATTCTATATTTCGGATATAGCTATGGTGTTACCTTTCCGATCGCTCAAAAGTGTGACGTCAATGGCGACAATGCCCATCCAGTTTATAACTTCTTGAAGAGTGAAAAATCAGGAATTGTGAGTCTCGTCGAAGTTAGACGATCACCATCGGCATGGCTTTCCTTCTTCTCCCTTTCCGATCTAATATTCAACACAATCCCTCGTGTTTTTTTTATTTCATTTCATCAACTGACCATATGACTTTTACACGCTTTCAATTGATCATCAATGATAGATGGGACTCTCACGAATCAAATGGAACTTCGAGGTATGATACATACAAACATCTTGACAATATGTCCTCCAAAACATAGGCTAACGTTCTTGAATCCAACTTTGTGTAGAAATTCGTTGTGGACAAGAAAGGGGCCGTTCGTTATAGACATGCCTCGTGAGTACTAATCTGTTTTTGATTAGGTAAAGTCAAAACATAACCCTTAAATATACGTATCATTTTATTTTATTTTAGGACTTCTAAGCCTGAGTCACTTGAAAAGGAGATCGAAGGTTTGTTAGCCGAATAAGCACCTCGATCTGCGCCTCCCGAGTGGGATGAATCGATGGGATAACATGTTCACCTGACCTGCAACCCTTTATGGCTGGCTATCGTTTTTCAAGTTAATATTCTCGTCACTCCATACTTCATCCCCCCCCCCCAGTGTACCTTCTGTGTTTTGATGAATATTCACAAACCACAATCACAAGGGAATCATGTACATTAGCAATTTGGCACCCATTATCTTCTTGGAATCAAATGAAATTGCATCTTTTTCGAAGTGGTATGCATACCGAGACGACTATCATCTGTCCAGATGATCTAGCCCCACAATCAGGGATAGAGCTGGAATAGTGCATGTCTAGATCTAGGCTATTATTAGGGGTTGAAACTTGTCTGTCATGTTGTCGATAGGAGGGTTGTAGCCAGCCTTTATATTCAGCAATATTTACCACTATCCAGCATCAGCAAGCTTGAGGCTTTGCGTATTTGGGAGAAGGAGACAGGCTGGCCCAATATCAGGGAAGACTTGGTGATTAACGTTGGGTGCTGCAAAGTTGGGAAAGACCACCTGAGGGAGAGCAGGACACTCCAGGGCGATCGTCGGCTCAGTTAACTTTCAGTCTTATTCATCCATGTCATCTTTGACCCTCTCCATATTTACTTTTCTAGGTTTGAAGACACTCGTGGATACCTTGAAATTCAAAGAGTATCATTAGAAAAGACTAAGAAAACCGGTGTATCATGTCTGAAGCATTTGACTAAATGTACGGTAATTTCATGCATTGCCCGCTCTCCTTTCTGGTCCTTTGTGGTCCAGTTGTTTGGCTCTCTTTGTCGAAATCAACTGGGGAGTGTAAGTTGGGTATGTATCACATTTTCTCAGTCAAGTTTTACAGAATGCTCTTTTTTATGGATTACATATTTATATCCTTATAGATTCACTTTCGAACATACATAGCATTTCCTTTGTCAGTTGCATTTTTTCTAACTAACATACTAGTTAGGACTAATTCATTCGGCTATTGAGAGATTAATTTCAACGGAAAAAATAACCTCAGACTACACTAGCTCTAGTTTAACCCCTTACAAATGTTCTCAAGTTTAGCTTGAGTTTTAGGGTGATGGAGCCTGATTAGTGAAACCAGTGTCAAGTTGCCAAAGTGATCACATAGCGTGCATAGTCCGGGGTTGTGTAGTTTCTGTGGGCCACATATTCTTGCGGAGAAGCTGGGAGCGAAGAGACTGCCTAGTGGCCGGATCCGGTGATCATCTCGGCAGGAAAGCTATCTGGCTGAGTTCAGCCTTAAAAAGAAACTGTGCGTGGATTGGCCACCAGGAAAAGCGTTAGTTTGTTTTAAGGCTGTACTGCTAGAAATTCAAGTGCCTGTTAGTTCCACGACGTCATCCTCCGGTCACCCCCTACTCAGTCCCGGTGGGTTGCCCCGGTCTCTGCTCAGCTTCACCTCGAGCTCGATGACAACACTCTTCCTCAATCCCATCATCACCCACTGACCTCTCCCTCTCCACTTACTGCAACTTCCTCCTCCTCCTCCTCTTTTCCTTCTCATCCGAAATCGAAGCCCCCCACTCACCCTCCCTACAAGATGTCAACATTTGAGGCTCTGATGGACTTGGCCTCCAAACAAACCAAGGAATCTCAGATCGCATTTGCCAAAGAGAACCAGATCCGACAAGCTCGAGAAAAAGTGAAACGACTAGAAGAAGAAAGGAAGGAGAAGGAGAGGATCAGGTCTGATGGCTCTTTTGATCTAATACAGCCCTTGTGAAAAACCAAAGCTGACTTGCACCATCTTCTGTTGACCGCTTCTGATATAGGCTAGAGAAGGAGAGACTGGCCAAGAAAAAATTAGAGGATGAAAAGAGGGAGAAGCAGCTCATCGAGGAACGTCAGAGGAGACAAGCAGATCGTCTATCAACCGCTGAACAGACACGCAAACAACAAGATTCAGACTCAACCAACCGAGCCTCGAGCTCCCGAATGAACAACGGACCAAGTCCAAGCTCTCGTCATCGCTCAACAACTCGTCCATCTAGCTCAACTCCCACCAACTTCGACGTAGATCCAGAAGAGAAGCGTCGACTCGAGCGAGAGGAAAAGCAAGCCAAAGCACGAGCCAAACTCTTCGGCGAATCCGTCGCTGCTCACAAGAAACCTACCCCTTCCCGCTCTTCTGCCCATACTTCTCAGCGTACTAATCCTAGCTCTAAGGGTAAAGCGCCTATGAGGGGAACCGCCTCAGGGAATAACTCAAAGATTGCACTAGGAACACCTGCAACTATCACAGCCCGTCAACGGATAGAACAGACTTTTTCTGCCAGTGAACGGAAACCTCTCAGTCAGACTAAGAGAGATCGACGAACCATCGAAGAAATTGAACAAGACATGAAACGCAAGAAGGTTGAAGTAGGCACTCAAGCCATCAGACCTTCGAAAGAAACTTCATTCAGTTCATCATTCACCGAGAAAAGAATTCTTATACCCTTGAAACCCGTTGCAAGCAGCTCGACGCTCAGGGATGTCAACAAGAATCCCCGTCCGCGATCTGAAACGGTCTCGGCTGTCAAAAGAAAGGCCATCAATGGCTTACCTACCCCATCCTCCAAGCGCCCTCAATTACCAACGAGCCTACCTAAGGATAGCAAGCCCAACGGTTCGCGCCCTCTTCCCCAATCACGATCAGGCTCGCACAGCGGCCGTCGACAGGACGCAACGGTGTCTGATGAGGACGATGAGTCGTCTGACAGCGAGGAAATGTCTGAACATGGTGAAGATGTGGCCCCCTCGGTGCGGGATGAGATATGGAAGATCATGGGCAAAGATCGGAGACAGTATACTGCTAAGCCGATCTTCAGTGACGAGGAGGATGATATGGAGGCGGATGCAGATGATGTGCTTGAAGAGGAAGGAAGAGCGTCAGTAGTCTCCCTGGGCTTTCTTCTTCTCTCTTTATCCATTTGAATTTTATTTTCTAACTTCTGCTTTACTCTTTTTTCCCTTTATCTTTCTTTCATCTTCGATGATCTCTCCCCCATAGTGCTCGTTTGGCTAGACTTGAGGATCAGCGAGAGGAGGAGCGTCTGAGACAACACGAACTGGAAAAGAAAAAAAGACTCTTGCAGCGTCGTCTTTCAAAGTAAACAGACAAAAAAAAAACTGAGGCCAACGGATAGTCACATCAAACCTTTAAGCTTACTTATCAGTTTTTTTTTGTCTTTCTTTTTTGTTCTTTAAAAAATTGTGTTTTATAGTTTCCTCTGATCTTTTGTTCATCGTTCATAGAAGATCCATCTCTGTTTTTTTTCCCTAGCTTTAATACTGTGCATTTTTTGTTTGTTTGAAAAGTTATCTTCTGTTTTTGTTTGTTTTGTTCTTGTTCTTTTCTTTCGCAACAACACATGTTAAAACGCCTTACTTCGCATACCAAAAAATACCAATAAATGTTGAAAAGTTACTTGTAACCAATCTCATTTGATCACACCCTGTGCTCTTTTATGAGATGTATGTGCACACTAGGAATATTGAGGCCTCTACATTTGTTATGGTCTGAGTATACTTGAAATCAGATCCAGACATCCAAAACCAAACTATAAAAAAAGAAGGTTTTGATTGGTTTTATTTTTATTTTTGAGAACTCTTGGACTCTATTTCTACCCATTTCCTTCCTGTCTGCAAACTCATTTGGGATCAGTCTACTCCTCAACAACAATGTAACAAGATTGCAGAGCTACCAATTACTGATTATGAAATGCTTTTTCAAGGAAAATGACAAATAATTCTACATGATTTGTATCAATCAGGAAGAAATTATTTAGAAAAAAAAGAGTACTATAAGTTGCTGAGAAAGAGCCAAGAATTCTCGATAATAGAATCCGGGTCAAAACAATTTGAACCAGACAGAAGAGTCAGAAATGTATTCATCAATCAAATCCAGCATGGATTGAGAGTTCTTGTCATCCAGATTCTTCAAAAAGAAATTCTGTCAGGCATCCCAAGCTTCTCAGATGGAGCATTACCCCCAGTGAAATCAACCTTCAGATACATATTCCTTACAGGATCCTTGATAGCAAGCATCAAATCATTGAATAGTTGATGAATATCAATATCTCTTGATGATTCCACAGTATATGAATGTTTTCTTTGGAAATTCAAAAGCTAGATGTGACCTTATAGATTTTCATTTTTCATTTGGTCATGGTTTTCAGGAATCGTTTGAATCTTGCAATGAAAAAAGAAATTCTTGTGGCTAATCTGGCAGTTGGATTGGATGTTTGACTGCAATTGTTTGAGTAGTTCTGTGTTGCAAGTCATTTATGAGTGTATAAACATGACCTAGTTGTCCTGGCCATGGCCCATTAAACCTTGTTTACTGAATTCTGCCCCCCCCCCCCCAGAAAATCAGTATGTTAAAATGCATGTTGGTTCTTGAATAATTTCTTAGTTATACATTCCAGTTCAATATGCAAGCCTCAAATTTGACATTTTTTACTTCTACTGTACGCAATCAATCTCACAGGGATTTTTCAGTCTCGAAAAGCTTACAGAAATGAAACAAGCAAACATGAAGAGACGACGAGCCCATGTCAACAAGGACCAGCCTGCCCGCAGATTTTTCCTGTAACCTCTTTGCAGTTCAGCAAAGGACAGCTTTCTTCTTTATCTTCTCTTATGTTTCAGATGGATTTCCTGGCTTGCATTAGGACCACCGGGCTTTAATTACAAAGCCCCCAACTGTGGCCTCAGCTTTTTTCCAAAGTCTTGGCCCAAGTACGTGTTGGCAGGCTTCTCCAGAGCCTGGACCAAAATTTAGTGGTTTTGGAAAACTACGACTCTTGGCAGCAAGTGACTTTCTGAAAGCATGTGAGGGAGCTTCCTGTTCATCCAACATCTTATCCGCCAAGTGATTGCTGACGGAAACTGCGATTCCATTGAGCAGGCCTCTCAACTGATCAAATGGCCCTTGATCATTGTCTAGGCATGTTATTTATGATGGCAAGATTTATCACAGAAAGGTGGGCAGATTGGCTTTATCTTCTTTACTGTGAGATGATGTAGAAAGTGTTTCAAAGAAACTTGAAATGCGCGTAGACGTCCGAGACCCTACTGACCAAGACACTTACGTCGCGAGGCTTGAGAGAATGAGCTGAGTAAATGTGAAGTGCCTGATATAACCGTGATTATGGATGGCGCTTTTTGGCCTGAGCCCCATCTTGCCGCACCGATGAAGTTGATGGGATCGGTTGGATAATGATCAAATGCACCAGGGATGAATAAAACTGGAATCTGTGCTTTCTCGCACCAGCTGGCGCCTCATCGAAACTAAGTTTGGGATTGAAATGTGGGACTTCCCATGATTGATGCGCTTGAAAAGGATTCAAGCCAGTTGTACTGAAGATCCATACAAATACATACCCTCACCCACCTCATTGCCGTCGACAATTTTGCGTTTGGATGGGCGTGATGGCGTGATTGAGCTGGGCGATGCCTGGAAAAGCACTTTTAGGGTGTCAGCAACAAACTCTCTGGAGGCTGTAAGGTCTCGGCCGGAAGTAGTGAAGAGTAGACCTGCATAGTGAAGAGTATTGCGGCAGCGCGTTGCTAGCAATTCCACAGAGCACATCTGAAGCTCTCACAAATCCACATACTCCTGCGAGCTTGTGCTTACCAATCTTGAATGTTATATTCACCTCTGCACCATGTTTCTGGGGTTATGGATTCTAGACTCTCAAGTCTCGAGGGAATAAACTAAGTTAAGGTAAGTGAGCAGCTGCAGTGTCGACAACCCCAAAAAGCAACAATCAAGCGCGTCAGCGCCAAAACTAAATCATCGGAGTTCCGCACATACACGCACATCTGAAGCTCAGTGTGAGGTTCTCACCCTCTTCACGCCTGTTCTTACAGGTTCTTACACTTCCAACCGTCCACGATATAACCCCCTCAGGTGGCCTCTAGCATTCGAAGATACCCCTCCCCCACCGAAAATAGTCAGATTGCCGGCGAAATTGTCGATTTCTCTTGCTCAAATTCCGTCAAGGTGAAACCAGCAGGTGTTGATGAAAAGAAGGACATATGATAAGCTTTCAGTCTAGCCTTAGCTGTCCAGACTGGCAGCTTGATCATTTGTTCTTCTTTTTATCAACACCTAGTGGTCTTATGTTGAAGGAATTAGGACAAGGGATTTGGCGGAAGATTTCAGGTGTCGATATTTTTTCACTAGCCACGTCTCAGCTCTCCGAGCTCTCTCCATCTTGCAAAGTTATTTTTCGACTCGACACGGTTTAAGGATACATTGCTCATGACACTATGGTGAGGTTCCCACTTTGTTTTGAAAGACACGACATGCTTAATCATAGTTAGAAGCTCGCTTGATATTCATTACATTTAGGATAAGTACTCAAGATGTTCCTTTGCGTCTCCGCTTTTTAGTCGACTGCCTCCTTTCCTTGGGCCCTCTTCCCGGGACCCTGTTAATGAATCGACCAAACGACTGTATCGACATCCAACTAAGAACGTGGAAAGCATCAGTTCAATCAAATGGACATGAACAAGAGAGAAACTTCCTTGCCGATGTGATATTCAATTTCCACTAGCCGATAACGCCTATCTGCTTTTCGAACTTTTCCTCGGGATGCGATATTCTGATCACTTGACTTCCGCTAAACTGTTAGAACTGCCTCTTCGATGGTTAAGAATCGTATTGATGGAACGAAAGAAAATGATTCTGATCAGTTCTATTTGCTTTTCTCACTCAGACCGTGGATATGATCATACCTTTTTCTCATCATTGGTGGCCTGGAAGCCAGTTGAATTGTCATTTCGGCAAGGAGCTCTCTTTCTTCCCTCTTGAACGTCTTGTGATTAATTGACATCTTACTACCATGTTAAACTGTATTTGCTCAGCAAGTTATAGGCAATAGCTGACGGTGTCTGCGTGTCACCACAGCTAACAATGATAAGGAGATCACGGAGTGAGTCTACATACCCTCGCTCGCAGAAAGTCTGATTTGGTTTCCTATCCATGCGCTAATGGAGCATCACAGCTTGGGCGCGACTTGCCATCCATGAAACGCATGTTCGGACAAGGCATGGGCCAACCCATGACGCGACGCATCGGGAAAAGGCCAATATGCTAGACAAAGAATAGATCACGATACCGATTGATCCAACAAATGCAACAACGCGTCTATCCGAAGTCCTTATTTTTTTGGCCAGCACAAGTGTTGCCACCGTCGAAAATCCAAATTTACATTGACTCATTTGAAGATTCCACTTGGCAGGGTCCTTGGTCTAATGAAGTAATTCTGCAGAGACGCGTCGATTGAAAGTTGACATTCATCCCAGTCCTGGAGTCGTTTATGGATGAGGACGCTGCCCGAAGTTTTGAACCTCGGCGAGGAGCTGAGGAGCACCCAATCAAAAGATCTTGAGTTATAAATATATATGTGGCGGTGTTAAAGTCATTTCAAGCCCTCCATTGCTAGAATTGACTTTGGCCCGAAGGTCCGGATGATTTCTCCAGTGAGCATTTAAAGACGGTTATAATTGCTGGTCGAGATTTTGATACTGAGTTATCGAAGACCGACCTGTCACCAGCACACCTTCCCGTTTCAATCTCCTATTGACTACGCGACGGTCCGGGTCACATTTTCAGTACGCCGGTGAAGTCGATTTTGAATCGTCATGATTCGCGAGCTAGAGTTGCGCAGGACTGATGTGTGTCTAGCTTCTCTGCCTGCGAAGTTGAAAGTCGATAGATGTCACGTTAGCTTCTTTTAGCGCTTGTCGGTCTCTGGGTCCATCAAGTTTACTTTTTGCGATTACCAAGTAGCAGAAGACGTACTGCTTGATTTTCGTTTCAGCTTTGAAAAGCCTCAGAGCAAGTGCTAGAATGTCTTTCAACCAGGAAGCTAGATCACGAGTGGGACAATGTACATAATCGTTGTCTTCGGCTATAGGAGTCAGGTGCAGTCGAGAATCTGGTTTTGCGTTTTGATTTCCGGTTAGCCTGAGATGATAAAGCGCTGACTATCTAACCGCTTGCAGGAGAAGGCAATGTTCAGCAGGTTATAATTTAACTTAGGATTTTCAATTTGAAATCATTTGGGCATCCAAAAGCCGATTTGAATCGATTGCCATAACGTCTGGTAGAAAGCCTTGGCAAGAAACTGGACCACGGTAAGACTAGTGAAACCGTTTGAAATATAGACGGGCGCTGTAAATGTGGATTGGTTTCCTGATGGCGATGCTTTTCATTGAGTGCGAAGGAGTCAGCGTCATCCCACAACTTAGGGAAGATGTTTTCGCGACTGGATTTCGGTCTGTATGTATGAGGGTCGCCTACACCATCTGACGGTCGACGAATAAACAGAAGGTTGAACGATAGACGCCAGAGAAGTAAAGTGATTTGTAAGTCAATCATCCAACCTTTTCGCCAACGGGTATGAGTCGTTTATCCTGAATTATTTGATAATTCACATCGCTGCTTCGCAGATCGATTTTTCATAGCCGTCAGTCTGATTTGGATCACATCCCGAATGGCCTGGTTCCTATTATCGTTGATAACTCGAGAGCCTTTGGCCTGTGAGGTTCGCGCTCAGTCGCATGTTGTAGGCGTGTTATCTGAATTTTCGAGGTGGTTGATGCTTGGTTTAAATACCCGCGTTCGTCCAATCTGTTTGTAGCGATCTCTTAACATCAACGGATCCAGCAGAACGGGCAGGGGCCACGCGGTTATCGGCTTAAACAGGTGACATTTCGACAGCAAACCCGCAAAGCATTTAACTGCAGCTTTGTTCCAGTGATGTATCCTCAATCTTGACTTGTCTGACACAGATGTTAAAAAAAGTCTTGATCGTTTGTTCATCACCCAGAGTCCCTTGGACGTCATCTAAACCACATGTCTTACGGGGACTGATACCAATTGCTTTGGCTGGATCGAAAGGATATCTGCAATATCCTCCAGCTGAGCTCAAGACCAGCTCGATTCAAATATTCGCTGTGAAAAACAAGCCATTTGTTGGCTAATGTAAGGGTTGCACTGGAAGCAAATCTGGGCTAACTGCAAACAGTTGTACATATTGTTGCTTGGCAAGGCAAAAGCAGGTCTGATTCTGATCAAGCAGTCGAGACATGTTGGTCAGTTTTTAAAGTGCCAATAACCTGATGTTGATCAATCAAAGCTCATCGAGTCACTGTCTGTCTACTCAAGTGACCACTTCTTTCCTATGTGATAATTTGCTTGATGCCTCAAAGTTATTCGAGTTCTTGGATGGTGAAATCCAGCACATACCACATCAAAAGCTGCCGATGGATCTGTAAGAAATGCTTTGGACCTTGTTAACTTGAAGTCAAAAAAACAAGAACAAGAAATCAAGTAGATTCATACGCCTTCATACCAGATGTGAATTGTTTCATTTAATTCTTTTGATCCAATGTTACAATTGAAAGTTTATTCACCCAATTTGGGGGAGTGTTATGCGTTGCCCAACTTCCGTTTAACTTGAAGGAGATTGCTCTTCAAGTGAGGTTTGAAGCCTTCGATTAAATGTTTGAAATCAATCTATGGCACGATTGAAAAAAATGTCATGGCATTGCAGTAATAACAGATGGTGGTACTTCTTCTACTCATGATCACCAGTGTTGCGTGGGTCAAATCTGCAACTAGAACACGAGAAAAAGACAAACAGGGATGATGGCACTTAATCACATGGATGAGTGGAGTGTTTAGGGGCCTTTTCTTTGACAGGGTCCAAAAAACTCAAGGTGATGGGTTAGATAGGTAGCCATTCCACAGGCTCCCTCCCAAGAATAGTCTGGGGCAGCCTGGCGCTAGGGAATATCTATCACTTGATGATTGTCAATGCCTTATGCCTTCCTTTGACCTCGCCATCCGTTGATCCCGATGCGGGGGCCGACGGAAGCGGGTCAAACTCAGGTCTTCACCCAGTCCCGGGCCTGCCCAGGGGGGTCGGGTATACGTCATCTGAACCGGCACAGGGGATGATCGAGTCGGTTGATCACGTAATCAAGCATCCGATCCGATTCATGTGAATGGCCTGAGTAAGCAAGCAGCCTTAAAACCCCAACTCAAGCACAATCAACCACCACGGTCACCTCATCACCATCAACCACTCCGGAATACATACGCACTCGAGGACCAACAGGTGTACATAGCAGGTGAATGTTTTTATCTATTGTACCTCAGCTCATTCCTAATTGTCGATTGGGATAGCTGATCATCTCGTCCATCGAATTTGGCTATGATACAGTCAAGCGACCGCCGCCCAATCGACAGATCCTATCATGTTGACCACGCTTCGTCATCGCCAGCGATGGGCTTTCTCCCGCCATTCGTTTGGTTCCTACGGCACTCTCCAGAAAACGCATGCCAGTTCCTCATCCCACCCTCTGAATCATCCCCAACATCATCGGCCGCCATTCTCAAGATCAGTCGAAGGTAGAGAACTCATCTAGAATCTTACCAGTTCTTATCCTTACATAATACTAATGGTTTACCTTCTCTTACATCAACAGGGATAAGTCAATCTTCAAGTGGACTTGGTCGCCGAACCAACGATCGTCTCCAGTCTACTCATGATCTGTTTTCCATGGATCACCAATCGAACCAATCAAGAACAAATTCACTCATCATCCCCTCTTATTCTCACTTTCTTACAACTCAACAGTCAGAACCATACCAGCAAATCTTTCAGCTTTCATCCTCCAATTCTTCTTCCAAGGATAATCCTAACAATAATCAATCTCCAGCGGGAGCGTCCTCCGGAAATCCCTCCTCACCAGGGGGCCAAGATGGTGCTAACTCAAATGACGATCCTCCTCAAAAGCCTCCGACGTCCATATCTAAGCCCACAATACCTGAAGTCTATCCCGAGGTGCTTGCCTTACCGATCACCCGTCGACCACTCTTTCCTGGTTTCTACAAGGCCGTCATAATCAAGAACCCTGATGTGATCAAAGTGGTTAGAGAAATGATGAAACGGGGTCAACCTTACCTGGGCGCGTTCCTGCTCAAGAATTCTGAATCAGAAACCGATATCATTTCCGATCCTGAATCTGTTTATAAAGTCGGTGTGTTTGCTCAGATCACTAGCATCTTTCCTACTAACTCAGCGAAGAAAGATCACCCCAGCAACCTGTCGAAGACCGCACCGAAAGACGACGAAACAGATGAGTATGCTGACGGTCTGACTGCTGTCCTCTATCCTCATCGAAGAATCGAGATCACCGAACTCTTGGTTCCCGAAGTTGATCCATCTGATCCCGCAAAAGTCAAACACTCCATCCAACCTGTCAAACCTACACCGATCGCACCCGTCAAAGAAGATCTTATAGTCACAGATAAACTTACCGATTCCTTGCCGGAGACTTCTACGACCACCTCACCAAATCCTTCAATACTCAAGCAGTCCTCTTCCTCCACCCCGAAGGAAAACGATCATCCCACGGCAGAATCGGACGAAGAGTCCTTAACTTCAGCTGCACTACTTCAAACCAGTTTCCTTAAAGAGCATCAAGTCTCATTGGCAAACGTGAAGAACTTGTCATTACAACCATTCAAAAAGAATTCACAAGTCATTCGGGCCATCGCATCTGAAATTATCAACGTATTCAGGGATATTGCGACGTTAAACCCGCTTTTTAGGGATCAGATTGCCAATTTCAGTATCTCCCAAGGATCTGGAAACGTTTTTGAGGATCCCGACAAGTTGGCCGACTTTGCAGCTGCAGTCAGCACATCACCCAGCTCGGCAGATGGCAGTGAATTTCATTTTAACGAATTACAGGAGGTCCTAGAATCTATGGTCTTAGAGGAAAGGCTCCAAAAGGCTCTGTTTGTTTTGAAACAAGAACTGAAGAATGCGGAACTACAATCGAAAATCTCTCGCGAAGTGGAATCAAGGATCACGAAGCGTCAAAGGGAATTTTATCTGATGGAACAGCTCAAAGGCATTAAGAAGGAGCTCGGAATCGATGGGGATGGGAAGGATAAACTGATCGAGAAATTCAAAGAGAAAGCCCATGGATTGAACATGCCTGAGTACGCCAAAAGTGTATTTGATGAAGAACTTAGCAAGCTCCAGACTTTAGAGCCACAGGCTAGTGAGTTCAACGTGACCCGAAACGTAAGTCGTGATATAAAGATTTTCAGTAGTCTTTTGCTGGAGATTGACGTAACTCTTCTCTTAGTACTTGGATTGGTTAACATCGATTCCTTGGGGCCGACACTCAGAAGAGAATTTCGATCTTCAGCACGCCATCAAGGTCTTGGACGAGGATCACTACGGTCTGAAAGAGTACGTACATAATCGTCATTCTGCTATTGATGACCTGAAATTGATTTTCCAAACGCTTGTATCAGTGTCAAAGATCGGATCTTGGAATTTTTGGCAGTGGGAAAGCTTCGAGGAACTGTTGAAGGTAAAATCCTATGTTTGGTGGGTCCACCGGGTGTAGGTAAAACATCGATCGGGAAGTCGATTGCCAGGGCTCTAGATCGACAATTCTTTAGATTCTCAGTTGGCGGTTTGACGGATGTCGCTGAGATCAAAGGTCATAGAAGAACTTACGTCGGGGCCATGCCTGGAAAAGTAATTCAATCTCTCAAGAAGGTTCAAACCGAAAACCCATTGATACTGATAGACGAGATCGACAAGGTTGGCAAAGGCCATAATGGCGATCCGTCTTCGGCATTATTAGAGATGTTGGACCCAGAGCAGAATAGCAGCTTTCTGGATCATTACATTGACATTCCTATCAACTTATCCCGAGTCTTGTTTGTCTGCACAGCCAACGTGCTCGACACTATACCGGCACCTCTCTTGGATCGAATGGAAGTCCTGGAGGTCAGTGGATACGTCACAGACGAAAAGATCAACATCGCCAGCAAGTATCTTTCACCTCAAGCTAAAGAATCTTGCGGATTTGGCGACTCGGATGTCAGTATCGATCAATCCGCAATCGATACACTGATACGTTACTACTGTCGTGAATCTGGAGTCCGGAAGCTGAAGCAAAACATCGAGAAGGTGTATCGTAAGGCGGCCCTGAAGATTGTACGAGAGCTTGGCGAGAAGGTCTTACCTGAATCGTCTGCGGAATTCGTTTCGCCACCGAACGATACATCGACTGTGAAAGGAGACAGTGTGATAAAATATGATGGCGATCTCCCGGCATCTCAATCAAGTAACGAGTCAAGTTCATCCTCTAGTTCACTGCCCTCATCGTCATCATCTACACCATCATCATCAT